TCGTACAATTTAATGTCTCTCTCTCTCCCCCCTCTCCCCCCTCTCCCCCTCTCTCTGCATTATTGACTATAAATACTTTAAACAGGAGAAGTTAAACAGTAGATTTGGTAACTCCAAGAGGACCGCGTTTAGCAGAAAGGAATCAAGCCACATCAGTTGAAGGCAAATTTTACCGGGCAATTTAATTTTTTGCAAGGGAACATTTTTGCGGATTCATTCGAAAATTCTTGAGTTTCTGCTTCGTAGTATGCAAAAAAATCACAAAAATACGCACAAAAATCCGCACAACCGTTTTCATGTAAAAAATTCTTCTTCTTCTTCTTCTAACTTCTGACTAGGGCCGTGACCCTGTTTGTCTAGCATCTAAATTAGTACATAAATATGATAAATAAAATATGATGGCGATGAGAGAGATCAATTAATACTCCGGGGATGAAAGGCAGCTCTGTGTCCATCTCTTAGGTGGTAAAAAATTAAATTGCCCAATTAAATTTGACAATAGCTAATATCGCTTGGTTCCTTCCTGCTCGACGCGATCTGATTCCTAGTTCAAAACCACGCTCGATGTGGCTGGCGGGTTGTTGATTTTGTGAGCACCGTGTACATGTGTTCGCAAAAGCCCCTATTTGTTGAAAACTTTCGGAGCGATTCCCAAGTTTTTTGACGTGAGTGAGCGGAACCATTACGCAAGGGATCGTGCGGAGCTCTGATCAGTCAACTTGCGCGGTGAGTTTGGACGCAACTTTGCCTCTTTTATATCAATGTCTGGACGTGTCTGGTCATTCATTTTAACAAACATGCAAAAACCGAAAGTTCTCTCCATTCCTCACAGGGGTAGTCCGCCGTTATAAATGGGAACCTCGCTTCCCGTTATTCTAGTCTCAATTTTGTGTTTACATCCACTTTTCCCACCGGGCACTGAGCCTAGGAGTTCAAGTTACAAACGAGTTCCCTTCGTAGTGAAAGTTCTTCCTTTATTAAAGGCTGACAAAGAAGTCATTCAGCGTAGTACATAATGAAAGAAGAGATGAACTACTCATCTTAAAGGCAATGCCTTCTTTGAAAATACAGGGTGATCCAAGGTTAAACGGCTAGACTGCAGGAGCCGAAACACCTCCAAACCCCCTCTTTAAATTGAGATTTCGATTTTATTTTAGATCATTCATGAACTTAGGGCATAAAAGTACAGGGGATTACAAATTTTTATGAGATTTGGTTCCCAATTTCCAAAATTCGGGAAAATCTATTTACTTTTCGAAATTTTGCGAAGGCCGTAGCTTTGACTGGGGGCTTTTTTGGAAAAAAACTTCTACGGCAAAAAAGTCTTATTTTAACCAATAAAACACGCTCCTGCAGTCTGGCCGTTTAACCCAGGATCACCCTGTATATCATTGAGTTCCTCGTAAAGGAAATTCCACAAAGTATATAGACAAACGTGGAATTAGCAATTATTGCCAAGGTCCTTTAGACATCTCTTGGTATAATTCCCTGAGAGAAAATATTGATGAAATCATAAAAAATACGATAGCCAAGTTTTCAAATGTTTTTGTCTTTTAAAAAAATGACTTACCTCTTTGGTTTAACACGTGAAGATAAGCTAACCAAATCTAATACCTTATACCTAAATAACTTCTACTTTACTGTCTAACTGCCTGAAAAGTGTTTTCCATGTGACAAGAAAAAAAATCATAAATTCGATCTGACTTTTCAGAAAATCCTTGTCGAAATTCAGAAACTCAGTCGCACTTTGTAGTGTGATCTATATAATTTTGCTCAGCAACCACATTCACTGTTTGTTTTTCCCCCTATTTAATTAGTTATTTCATCAATTTTCGTTTTTATTTAACTTCTTCTCGCACCACATTTTCCCAGCATCTTAATTTAAATCATCACGGTTGAAAAAATGCCTTTGGCTTCCAAAATACAAATGAAATATTCCATTTAAGAGGAACGCAAAAGGAACCTAAACTAAAAGCAAGAATTCCCTCCGAGAAGCGTTTGAAAAGTAGACTCAGAATAAACAAACCAAAAGAGCTGCAAAAACAACTCATCAAGGTTGGAGAAGTAGAATTCAAATCGAGCTTGTTTACGGTATACGTGCAGTTTTTTGCAGCTGCATTTTGATCCATTCAAAGAATTGCAGCTTGAATTTTTGTTTCAACAGCGTCAACCACTGACTTATAACCGAGTTTGTCAAATTATTCATGAAAAAGCGTTACATTTGCGTTTCCTCGCCGATCTCTCGCCACTATTTTTCAACAGCGCTACTATCGCTATTCCGTCTATGTGCTCGTTCCCAAGCTTTTGTTCTTTTTATCATTTGTGTGGAATTTCTCTGCCTCGGATCTCTATTTTAGAGTATGAACATCAATGGAAGAAACTTAGAGAATACTTTAGAGAATATTACTCTGATGTAGCCGTTAGTCTAGTAAAGTTGCGATTTTTTACACGTTTTAAAAGGGAGTGGCTACTCAAAATGTTCCAAATGATCTTCTGTCATTCCTTTTTCAACATTCTTATTTTCTTCGTCCTCCCTGAAAAATGATCCATTTTAGTACAGAAATATGAGTATGGTCGTAAACAGGAGACTCTCTATGGTGTCTTATACCAGAATCTGGTAGAATTAACCATAATTATGTAAGTGCTTCTATGTGTCTAGTTATTGAGCGCTTTTTTGCTTGAAGTTTAGCCATCATGAATACAGTTTTGAGGAAGTAAGTTTTTTACCAAAAAATTGCAATAGTTTTACATCAATTTGTCAACAAAATGAGCTTCGTGTGTCAGAAAGATGGCAATATACAATACATTCAAAAATTGCAACTTGTTTCAATTTTATTGAAATAAATTTTAGAAAGAAGTGTTCCTTCGATCAATAGATAGGCAACATACACAACACTCCGATGAAATAACACCAATTTCATCGCGTAATTGCAATTTATTGCAATCTGTGTTACTTGGGGAGGTAGACACTAGGGAAAAGGTGTGACGTAAATTACGAATGCTCCCTTAAATATGTTGGAGAAGGTGGCTCGGATGTAAACATTAGGCTTTTATGATAAAGCTTATGGAGAGGAAGAGAAATGTAGCGGCTCTGTTGGAGTCTTTTTGCTACTCTCTGATAAAGTCAATTGAGAGCAGATTCAGGGAAGGAGATAAAGTGAGAAATGGACGTCGCCCGACAACACGAACAGTATCCGAACACTTAATGGGTTACTGGTTGCAGGGTTACTTGGCAACCGACTGTTTTTCCAGTCGCACGAACATGGGTCCGCTCCGCCTTTTCGAAGTTACTCACGGTCGCAAATCTTCATTTCGGCCAAAAGACTTATCTAATGTTAGATCACCATCGAAAGTCTTTACGCTTCTTCTTGCCCCCCATTTATTCCTGTAAATTAAGGCGACAAGACAGAACAAGACCGCCGTGGTACCGCTGGTTAACAATTGTCCTGGTGACAAGGAATACGAAATTTTAGTGCTTCATATGAATCCGAGGCTGGTTAGGAAAAGATGCCGCCGAAAACTACACCTGACGCTACCTTAAACATCACTTGGCCACTCTATGACAGTTCTTCGTACCTGGAAGCACTATCAAATTTACAATTTTCTTCTGATGAGCCAACGGAAGCGCATATGAACGGTTACGATGGAGGCTTCAGGACACAGACGTTTGGCATAAATGTCTGTCAAAATTGCTACGGTGTAATGTAAAATAAAACAATGCAAATTACAATGAAACATCTTTTTGCTTGCCCTCATCGAAGTTTACGCGCCCTCGCGTTCATGGGAATCATAAGAGCATGGGTGCTTCCCTGGTACAAATTGGCGATAAGAGCTGCGTTTCAAAATACCATAGGAATTCTTATAGCCGGCTAAAGAGGGCCACAGAAAATCATATAGTTGGCTGTAGAATGCGGAGAAAATCATACGGCCTACGGCGTACGGCTGTACGAAGCGATAAAAAATTATGCAGCCGGGCTATAGTCCTTATAGCCGGGCTTTACACTTCATCGCCTGGCTGTTGCTTTTTCGCCAGCGATTATAAAAGGCTATAAGAAATTGTATAGAAATTCGTGTGCTTTGGAAATCATTAAGTTTGATACGGAACCACCTAAATATTTACAAAACACACGTTATATTTTCCTTTAATACATATTTTTTTCATCAATTAAAACGAGAATAATCCATACAGGATGTGCAAACATTTCAAAAGCATGAGTTGAATAACGCTGACTCCGCCGGATTAAATATTAGAGCCTAACACAAAGCGGAGCGGCGACGCACTGGCGCCTACAAACCTAACAGGGATACTTCACGCATTGCGCAACGCGTGAAGTATCCCTGTTAGGTTTGAAGGCGCCAATGCGCGTTTCGCGCTGGCTGCCCGCCTGCCGCAGGCCGCACCGCCGCGTGCCACGGCGCTTGAAGCAACTATTTCACACCAGAAGTATTGCACAGTATCATACGAAACTGAAGACGCTCTAATATATTAGGAATGGCAGGCATCCATCAAAAGCACGGAGCTTTCCTCGCAAAATAAATCAAGATACTACGGCCCAAAAAGAGAGCAGTGGTCCAAAAACTCACTAAGTCCTAGCATCCGTAATTAGTGACGTTTACCATACACTTTATCGCCTGGCTGTGAGTTGCTTAGTCGCCATCGGCTATAACAGATTATGAGAAATTGTGTAGCCGGCTATAGAAGCTATTGAAAATCTTACAGCCGGCCGTAGGTCTATGGTATTTTGGAACACAGATTCTACTGCCAATTTTTACCAGGGATTGCAATCGCTTATTCTACGTAATCGCTATTTGCTGTGATTTCATCAATATTTGTCAGAAAAATGCTCTCAATTCATAAAATTTCCTGCGATGAAATGATTTCTAAATAACAAGAAACGGTGATCTCGTGGCTTTATTTTACTCTTAATCGTGAATTTAGTTGAAATTCAATTCTTCTAGAGTTGCTAATAATGGTGCTGTTATGTTTTGTTTTTTTACAGTCAAACCTCTATCAGCCAGTATCCTCAGCAGTCGGCAGCCACTATCAGTCGATCGCAAGTACGAAATAGTTTGTCAATCAGTGGAATCGAGGCCGCCAGCCAAAATTTCGTGGTGGAAGGGAAATAAGCGGCTGGACACAAGCGTTGAAGAGGTATACTTACCATGATCAAAAATACTCTGTAACTTGTAACTTTTAATTGATGTTATCCACTGCCAAAACATGTTTAAAAAGTTATAAATATCTTATATTCTGACCACGTATAAGCCTTTGAGACGCCAAGGCGTCTTTTTAAGGGTGCGGGTTCTTCTTGAGGTCCTCCGCACAATCAAAGTGGAGCATAATGACCTCATTAATGAGACATCACAATACCTTATGGAACAGATGTCTATAATTTCACTCTGATATCAATCTGACTTCACTCTGACATCATTCTAACCATTCAGATGTCACCACGATGACACTGTGATGGCAGAGTGTTCAGCGGATATCACTAGCGGATGCCATTATGACATCAGAATGATGTCACAATGTCCCACTTTTACCAGGGTAGACATGGGGCACAAATTTATTTTTCCCAGAGAGTTTGGGTGGATTGATTTTACCTACAGACCACGGAGTCCTTGACCGTATCCCGTTTTATCACCGTAGATGCCTAGCGGAATATTTTACGGACGGTCCATTGGCTCAATTTTCAGAGAGCGACGCTGAGAAGGAAAACTATTTTAAGCGAGGCATAGTAACTCCAGTTAGAGGAATCGATAAATTTAATGACAGGAGAAGAAGAAAGAAAAATAAGAAAGTAACACGTGGACACTTTATACGTCCTACGGAGAAAAGAAAGGATACGCGTGGTGAGGCGCCCGTAAAAAATATGAAATTCGGGAGTATCCGCGCCGGACGACGCGACGCACAGTGGATCGAGTCAATAGGAGAGGTAGGACAAAATTTGGAAACTTTAAACGCTTATAACTCCGTTTATACAGAATTTTGATGTTCTAAAAATGGTTTCATTGGTTTCCTCGTAAAATTTTTTGCCAGAAGCACCCATTTGAATTTAAAATGTAGCGAAAAAAACATAGAAGTTTGTAATTTTAGTAAAAAATTCCATGTCCGACTTCTCCCATTGACTCGTTCCATTGTGCGACGGAAAGGATCTTGGATACAGGTTTTTTTTGTGCGATTGAATCTGAGGCGAAGGTCCATCAACGATTACGACGCTCAAATCGTCGCTCCTCTGCCGTAAGGGCGTATCTCAATTTCGACATGAGCCCTAAAAAGCATGGAGTTATATGGACAACAGGGTTCACGTGGAAATCGAGGTACGCCCTTACGTCAGAGAAGCGACGAAATTTTACTCCCCGTTGCGTGAAGTCGGGATAGCAACAGCTGTCTCGCGCAGATATTATCGCTTCCGAGCGTGTCGCAGTCACCCTCGTCGTCCCGGCGCCCGACAAGTTGCCTCAAAAATTCCGTTCCGTTCCCTTCACAAAAAGTGTCAGCCTCCGATATCGGCGTTTAATAGCTCCCGGAGATGTACCCATTGTGACCCCGCCGGGGAATTTCTCCGGTGCTCTCGGGCAAAAATTTTTATATTCGGACGTATCTCTACCAAACAAGGCTATGTGCATCATAATGTGAGCCCTGAAACCCACAAGAATATATGCTTAACAGGGCTCGCGTCATAATTGACATAGTTCCGTTGGGCAGAGATACGTCCATCTATACCCTTCGAGCGCGGTCGCATTTTACAGGGTGGCGAGCGAAGCATTCGACCAAGCTTTTATTCCGTCAAGCGTTGCCTCGGAAAATATTTATCGGGAGGAATACATTTTTCCACTCATATCAAGTTTCTAAGATTCATGAGTCCGGAGATTTTCTCTGGGTTTTCCGGAGATAGTCAGACGACAAATCCCTCCTGAAAATGACGAATAGAAATAGGTGAATAATACTCTACGGATATCTCCTGAATATCTGCTGATATCAGTTATGAATCTCTACTGCTCGGTCTGGCTCGAAAATTCTTTGGGGGTGCCGATACGTTTTTGGGGCCACTCTTCTGGGGAAAGGGACCCCCTCACAAACCTAAAGTCTTCTTTTATGTGGGTTTTACAAGTTTTGGAGGCCCCTTGAGGAGTCCTACCGGGGCCCTCTGCCGAGCTACTTGTCAGGATTTCTGGGGTGCTGAAGCACCCTAGCCTAGCCGCGTATCGATGTCGATGAGTCCAACGACATGGCGTGCTTTGCGATATCGATTGTAATGCCATTTAAAGCTATGGAAAAGGATCGATAAACAGTGTGTTCGCAGCAAACACCTTAATGATCGATTCTTTACCATAGGTTTAAATGACATTACAATCGATATGTCGCAATTCACGCCACGCCACTGAATGAGTCTTGAGTCATCGTCCTCTTTTAATGATTGCAGATATCCCCGGATGGAAATTTCACAACTTCAACGTTGACCTTCACTCCTACATTGAGCGACGATGGAAAATCTCTAACGTGTAGAGCCGAGAATGCCCACGTCCGAGCTGGCTTTGAAGAGGATTCGTGGAAACTCATCATTCACTGTAAGATTTTCCCTCATCAATTGAAAAAAGACTTAACTATCTCAATTTCAAACCACCAAAATGAAAATGCCGACATCATACAGCAAAAAGTTCGTGACAATTAGATGCAAAATTAGTCATCAATACTGGTTCGCAGCATCACCTTTTTTAAAGTTTATGGATATCATGGAATTTAATCTGTTACTTTCTCGACATTCAATCTCATAAGAATTAGTCTAATTCACAAGTATCGCGTTTTTTTTTAGAAGAACATCGATAAAAATGTGTATTTCTCAAAGATACTGCCTTAGTTTAATCTTGTTTTTTAACATCTATTTAAATGGATTAAACAGTTAATGGTCGATTCACATTTTGGACATGAATACTTATTTTATGTGTCCAGCCTTTTTTTCGAATCGGAAAAACAATACCGCTAATTTGAATCCTTTTGAGGATTTTCATGAGTAAAAGAAGTTACTGAATAATTCAAAGCCTGAAGTTCAAAAATAAAGACATAAAAAAATGTCAACAAACACATTCTTCACCACGTAACTCAAGTACCTAACCAGGTTTCTAGGTTCTGATGAAACTTATCAGCAGTCAACATGTTTGATCATGAAGTGCCAATTTTGGTGTTCAGTGAAGTAGAAATCGCCATTTTTGACCATAAATGTGGAAGTAATTTATAAGTACCAAGACTTTAAATACCGTTTCTACACATGATGCAGTGCATCTTCGCCAGAGAATTATGAGTTTTGTTATTTTTACAGATGCCCCGATGTTGGACCTAGTACTGGGAGCAAAACTAAATCCAGAGGACATCGAGGAGGGCGATGATGTTTATTTTAAATGTCGTATAAGAGCTAATCCTCCAGCATACAAAGTCACATGGAAACACGATGTGAGTATTTCTAAATATGCACCTCAGAAATATCCTTCTCATACAAAAGTAAGTGAGTGGCACAGGCAGTCAGACATGCCTGTTGCACCTTGTTGCAATAATGAGTCACTTCTATGATACTTACTTTCATCGTAATCAATTAAAATAACAGACTTCTTGGTTGACTGAGAAAAATTTCATCCAATGAAAGCATAGAATTACGAGTAAATTAAGGGAAAACATTTTTTTCGAAGTCTTTTTGACTCTGCTTAAAAGCTCTTTTGAAAAAAAGATACCTATCGTACTTTTTTAAGTGCCGAAATTTTTCTGAAGAATGAGTTCGGACCATTTAAGTCCTCGATTAATAAGAATACCATTATAATTTATAATACGCAAGTACATGTTTATTTGTTTATTTTTTACCACCAGGGTCGAAGTATCATGCATAATCCGAAAAGCGGTATCATCTTGGGAAACGAAGACATGGCGTTGCAAGGAGTCCGCAGGCAACAAGCAGGAAATTACTCTTGCATTGCGAGCAATGTGGAGGGTGACAGTGAGAGCAATATTTATCAACTGAAAATAATGTGTAAGTATAATTAAAATATTAATCTCCTCCGAATCCTGTTGAAACAGCGCAGAGCCCGCACATAGTTAAAAATGTCCGTGTTATATGGTCACTTTGGGTTTCGAGTTACTTCTTTCTCGGTCAGATCAATCGAAAGCACTTGGTTCCGACCAAATTGTTTGTTAAATTGACCAAAATCGTAGGTTACTCTAAGACATCTGGGGATGAAAAAATGTCCCCCTCCGAACTGCTTGGACATATTTATGCTAAAAAAAACTATGTGCTTATGGTTTGCGTGTAACATAGTTCCTTTCAGCATAAATAAGTCCTAATGCACTTTTGTCTCTCTCGATATAACTCAGAGGTCACGATTTGCGAATGGCTAGCACATGCATTGGACTATCAATGTGATCCTAGTTTGATGCTGGCAGTTCACGTCTGATTTAAAACGAGGTTGCTCATTTTTAACTCAAAGCTTAAGTCCAAGAGCTCAACGACATTTTGTGACAAACCCGGGACACAAGTTTTGACCACTTAAATCGATAGCCATACATGCACTGATACGAAAAATGGTCGTTGGCCACGTCGTAGCATGTCCCAACACTTGACAGACACAGGGCCGTTTTTACCTACTTGCCGCCCATGGGCCGCCTGTATTCAAGTGAACGTGCCGGAGAAGGAGGGGTGCATAAGACGCGTTTACTCGTGTTGGGCACATTTTTTGTGAAAGCCCTGTCAACACTAGCAAAAGATCACGGAATTTTACGCGAAAATTAAGTTCCGTAAACCTATCTCTGTGTGGACATGACCTTTCATTGTTAAGGAAAGAACGAAAAAAAATGTGAAAGATTAAACATGAATGTGGTTTAATTATTTTAATTTCCGCCACCGCGCCAACCGCACTGTGTTTGGCGCAATGCGTGAAGTATCCCTACAGTCTTGTAGGCGCTATGCGTTTCACGTCGACCGCTGCTGACCGCACTGTGTTTGGCGCAATGCATGAAGTATCCCTACAGTCTTGTAGGCGCTATGCGTTTCACGTCGACCGCTGCTGACCGCACTGTTTTTGACGCAATGCGTGAAGTATTCATGCAGTCTTGTAGGCGCTATGCGTTTCCCGCCGACCGCTGCTGGCCGCACTGTTTTTGACGCAATGCGTGAAGTATTCATGCAGTCTTGTAGGCGCTATGAGTTTCACGCCAACCGCTGCTCACCACACTACGTTTGACGCAATGCGTTAAGTTCCGTAAACCTATCTCTGTGTGGACAAAGCCTTCCAATGGGAAGAAATGAACGAAAACATTAAGAAAGAACTAACATGAATGTGCTTCAATAATTTTAACTTCCACCGCTGCACCGCGCCGCGCTTACCGCACTGTTTGGCGCAATGCGTGAAGTATTCCGACAGTCTTGTAGGCGCTATGAGTTTCACGCCAACCGCTGCTCACCACACTACGTTTGACGCAATGCGTGAAGTATTCATGAAGTCTTGTAGGCTCTAATATGTATTTCATGCTGACCGGCGCGCCGAGGGCTTCCCCTTTCCATCTCAAGTCCTCGTCATCATTGCTCTCTGCGCCTTGCCGCTCCAGGCCAAATTGCGTGTTTGGTTTCTCTCTCAACTAGATTAATGAAAGCTGCTGTCTCCTGTATCACCGAAAAACGGACAAATTAGAAATTACTATACTTTATAAAGTTATAACTCTCAGGAAATGAGAAATTTTTTCGCCTTTTCTCGTCTGTAATTTTTTTTCTGAGTCAGATTTTTTTCTTGATACCTGCAATTGAAAAAATTACATCATTTGCCACCCCCTAAATCCGGCCTTGGACAGCAACCGTTTTCCTCGTCAGTTCAGATTTGAGTGGTCAAAACTGTTGTCCCAAGTTTGTCATAAAATGTCGGGCTCTAGGTCAGAGTGATTTAATTCTTTAATCAATTTTTGGAGTCAATCTTACCCAGAGATAAACTAACAAAATAATATTAACCGCACGCTGCATTACTTTATGTTCTACTTCCCATATTGACAAAAACTGTCGGTTACTTTTTCTCACTTTGCGTCCTTCTCTTTGAATTTTCACAGTTAAACCAACTTGCAAGCCGGAGCAAAAACGAGTTTACGGCGTGGCCCGGCACGAAGATGCGAAAGTGATCTGTGAAGTAGATTCCTACCCGCCGCCGGATTCTTTCCGATGGTCCTTCAACAATACGGCCGAGACGATCGAGGTGCCCCAATCGCGATACAGCTCGGGGGAGAAACGTCGATCCCTGTCTATCCTGACGTACAAGCCCGTCTCGGAAATGGACTACGGCTCCGTCATGTGCTGGGCCACCAACACCGCTGGCTCGCAGAAAGAGCCGTGTGTCTTCCATATCGTTGCCGCAGGTGAGTCTCTCTCGTTGAATCAAAAAACTTCGCCTTTGGTGCAGTGGCGGGTCGGGGGAACCCCCCCCCCCTTCGGGCCAAAAAAGGGGGGAAAAAGGGGAAAGGAGAGAAAATTAGTGCTCCTAAAAATTTACTGAACTGATTTCAAGACAGAACTATAAAATCAAAGTTTACCAAACTAAAGGTTACTCAACGCGGCAGAAATAAATACTCGGTCCATGTACTCAAATAAAATTACGCTACTAGAAGTATTACTTGTCAATTTTCAACTCAATGCACAAATTGAATGCTAAAACTGCTCTAAATTCAAAAAAATTTACGAAACCCGAACCCCTGGTAAGTTTGCAACCCTCGTATAAAGGTATGTGTCCTCGTCTAGAGAGCGACAATTTTTGCTGTTTATTCCCGAAAACTCTCGTTTTCAAAATCTGGATTGAAGTTGAAAGTACACTAAAGTTGAATAATGCATTCGATTAGTCTTGTCAACGGGTAATTTTTGCGTCGGCCTACTTTCAGCTATCACATCAGGTTATTACCGCCGGCTCTATATTTTTCCCTTAGTATCACTCTCTAACGAAAGTACTGGTAATCATCGTCCCACCCACAAAAAATAAAGGTGGAAAATATATTTCGTAAAACCCACTGAAGCCTTACGTGACCGATTTTACGAGAGCTTAAAAAAAAGCATAACGCTTACATGTTTATGCAAGATGGTCTCACCTTCATGGTGCAAAACAAGTCCGCCCAGTTGCGTTTTTATTCAGAAATGAAACTTCGTGGATGCATTACCTTTCAACAATTGAGGAAGTTACTCGCCCACAAAAAGTAGCCTCGAGAGACCAATCGTTGAAAAGTAACTTGAACTCCTTTCACCGGGGAATTCGAAACGGCGAACTTACGAACAAAATGTGTCCTTAATTTAACGGCTTACTTGGCAAATGGTGTAAGTGACTTAGAGGTCCCATAAAAGGTATTTCTATCTCTATGTAAGTATGTCGTTTCGTTTTCAAAGTCCTCCGCCATCAAAGAAATACATACTATCCTCCAAGCATTTCGGTGGCTTGTCGCAAATGCACGGCGCATTTCAAATATTCCCTCTCATATTTCTTTCTGACGCAAAAACTGACAGACATATTTTTTTTCAAATTTCACGAAAATTATCTTACTCTCCCCAAAATATATACGCATACGTAGGTCTAAAAATGTAGGTATTATTTGATTGACCATTTAGAAAAAAAAATGCATTTGATAGTTTAAAGCGTCATATCTCCGAAGCGTTTTACTAGTCTTTTAAGATTTAGAAACTGGTTCCAAGCAGAAATTGCTTTCTTGCAGGACCAGTCAAAATTTCAAGTATGTAACTCGTAAACGTCCTGAAAAATGGCAAGTCGGAAAAGAGCATCTACTCCTCCTCATCGGAAAACGCTTTTTCCACGATATACGAGTATTTGACGCTTCCTCATTTTCCTTCATTTACTTCACCTTCAACCAGCTACATTTTGATACAGAATATGAGGAGGATTCAGAATACGCTTTATCTGGAAAGAGGGCGTAAGTCCCTATACGCCGCTCTTTTATTGCGAAAAACGTAACAATTAACGAACCGTGTAATACCGAATGAATATTATCTGAAGAATCCAGAATACACATCCTCTGAAAGAAGGAAAGTTAGTCACTTTACCAGAATATCGTTGCTCCTCTAACGAAAGCAGTGGCTTGACGTGAATTGCGATATATCGATTGTTATGCCATTTAAACCTATGATAAAGAATCGATTATTAAGGTGTTCGCTGCGAACACCCTGTTTATCGATCCTTTTCCATAGGTTTAAATGACATTACAATCGATACATCGCAAAGCACGCCACGCCACTGTAAGAGTGTATCTCGATTTCCCCATGAGCCCTGTTTTATATATGAATCCATGCTTTCTGGGGCTCATTTGGAAATTAAGGTACCCTTACGTCACAGGAGCAAAGGTATGTCTCAGTTAAGGTGGTCCATTTCCGTCTCAAATCATAAGAAAATTCTGGAGCATTGTATCGCGATCAGTTTTTTTTTTCAGTTGATGCGATCATTTATTTCTTCAAAAATTTTTTGCATTCCCAAACATATTGTGTTTTACGATTGCGAGAATTTTTTGTCTGCAGAGGTTCAATTGAATCGGTATTTAATCGCATTCGTCAATTTTCTTTTCATGTATTTTTCAGGCAAGCCAGATCCACCGTACAATTGTTCCTTGTCCAATCAAACCGCCAATTCTCTGGAAGTTGAATGCTTGGAAGGATTTGATGGAGGATTGACTCAAATTTTTATTCTAGAAGTTTTCGATCTACAAACAAACACCTTAGAGGCCAATCTTTCATCTCCATCAAGATGTGTGTTCCTAGTCAACGACTTGATGCCAGGGAAATTACTTAGAATACGTATTTTCGCTACAAATGGCAAAGGCCGAAGTGAATCCATTTACCTGGAAGGATTCACCTTAAATACAGCCGAGAAACAGACGGGTATGTGTAAACTTACATTTTTCTTTTGAGAACCTCGTTATATTTGATAGTATGTACTGAAGGGCTACGGCCCCTGACTGCTTCGCAGTCCAACCCCTCAAAGTCCTTCGCGCCCATGGCGTTATGCGTTACGCGTTACTTTTATGATTTTATAATACAGAGTATGATATGATTTCTACTAGGTTATATGTGTCCTGTCATTTTTTTATCCAGAAATTTGAAAGTCTAAAAACACTTAAGAACTTTTTAGAGTTCTTAGGTGTTTTTTACTATTCCCCGTCCACATTATGTGTTTATTGTTGCACACATTAATCTGGATACTAGCAAAAGATGGTTAGACCACCAATTGTGTGAGAAAATGTTGGATACAGGTAGAGGGTGACAATAAAAGGGATGCGGTGGAGAGGATACAAAGAAAGAGTAAGGACGAATTAAATAAATTTGTAAAAAATTACAAAATTGGAAAAAATCAATTACATTTTGAGATCACCAACAAATGAAAGACGAAATGAAATCCGAGTTTACAATCAAAATGTGTAAAAGTTGGACAAAGCTTCTTTACGTCATTATCATTAACATTAAGAACGCTTATCTTTGGTCTTACAATTCACTTAAAAATTATACAATGAACATAATAAACACATTTGATCCAACTTATCTCTCATATGAGAACTGATTCACAAAATTCAAGATCTGAATCGTTCACACAAAGAAGAAAGAAAAAGTCTCCGATTTTGGTTTCTTTCCGACCCGGTTGTAATGTTAACAATAGTGTGCATCTGACGCAAAATTGTATATTTGTTTACAATGTAATCATCCAGAAGCACGAATAAATTGTTCATCACTCTTTTCCTTCTTTTTCTTTCTAGGCATGCCAGCAAATTTCGAGCTGACCCCTGTCCTTGGCGCCGTATTACTACTAAGTGTAATCATACTCATAGTGACCTTAGTTGGGATCGCCTTGCTGCGAGCGAGAACGACTCATAGCAGTAGAATTCCAATCACGAGGCCCTCAGATCTGGCCCTAGTTAAGGATAAAACGAATGTACCTTTGCGGTCTAATATCCAGAACTTATACGATGACAAAAATCCGGATGTTATACCATGTAATAATAAAGGTACGTAGCTCCTATACTTTGCTCTTAAACGCATTTTATACGTGGCGTGGTACATTGAATGCGGCATGGTGCGTTTAACTACATTGTCAATGCCATCCGAGTTGAAAATTGCGGAGCTTTACGGAAAATGGGGCCTTATTGAAAATCGCCTTTATGACAAAAACGCATTTGAAGGTTTAGAAATGGTCTTTTTTCATTCTAGGGTGTATAAACTTTGATCAATTGTTGGGGGCAATTTTCTCAAAAATTTCCTTCATACGGGCCTCAAGAAGAGTGGGTAAGGAGGAGATGGAGGGAGGGGACGAGGTACACGGGAGGGGAGGAAGAAGGGAGGGGGAGGAAGAAGGGAGGGGGAGGAAGAAAGGAAAAAGAAGAGGAAGAAGGAAAGGGGAAGGGGGTTGTTTCAGAATTCGATCGAAGCAGAAAATTTTTCGGGAGGGCCCTGGATAAGTCCTTGTACAGGGGGCAGCAAAACTCCGCACCGCTTTTAGTGCTCAATACTATCCAAACATCTTACTTTGGGATAAATGCCATTAAATTTTACGTGAAAATGATTATACTAGCTCTGTTTTCCCATCCATGTCTCTATAAGTGACAATAAATATCCCATAATATCAAACTAATAACTCCGTAATTTCATCGGGACAGCAGAGCTTCTTTAGCGTAATATGCAGAAAACGTCACTTGTTTAAAAGTATGAAAAGAGAGTATGAAAAACTCACTTCTTGTATTTCTTTTTTCAGATTCAGACTATCAACTAGTGAATGGCTCTAACTGTGATGTAGGAAGCAAGCAAAGCACGCTTAGCAACAAGTTCAATCTCAACAGCTCAGGAAATATCACGCCAAACAAACAGACTGATTTATACGATAGTTTTAAAAGAATGCCACCGCTTGGAATTCAGGTGGGTAATCAACTTCTCTCATCCCACACCCAAAAAAAGCATTTTGCACCTCTGATATTTTACTGACCTCTCTTCATGTTCTTTGCGCGCAGTGAAATGTGAGGTCTAGAAAATAAAATATATTTCAAGCACCCATTACTTTTTTATAGCACGACCCAACGTTATGCTTATACTTTCTTTTTTTTTGTCGCTGGGCTAAGGAAAACTCGTTGAAAATCTTGTTGGTATGATGAAAAAGAAAAATGCGTTACGCGTCGCACTGATTGCCATCTGCGTTTTTCGTCAATCGAAGTTGCAGGCAAAGCATTAATGTATGTATGCCCCTAAAGATGTAAAAATCTCTGGTGTGGTTCAGCATGAGCAAATTTTTAAGTAATAAGGTCTCCATGCGTCAAGCAAGTTGCATTCGTTGGCACGCCTACTTTTTCTACTCTGCGTTAAAGTCTCTGGAGTGATTCCTGCAACTGATCGTCGCTTGGTGATCTCAAACGACGCCAGCATGATCAAATTGTTAAGGGACGGAACTACCGAACAGGTAAAACACCAACGCTCGACTCTTTCAACCAAACTTTCTTCTTTAGTGTAAGATCCAATAATCAAATCACTTTCTTGAAACACGCGCGCAAGTGATTTTTGGTATCAGTTAAAAGCTACGAAGGGCCTGTCCATACACTCCCACCCACCCCGTAAATCCTCTCGTAATATGGACGTATTTCTACCGAACAGAACTATGTGCAGGTGGAAAAGATAGGGTGTGCTCGTTAATCGAGGGCCGTAAGAATGAATGAGAATCTTTACCAACGCTCTTTACCCATGTCTACGGCTCATGCATGCCGCGTACAGTTGGCACATAGTTCCGTTTGCTGAATTGAATAAGTGGGATTTTACATTCTGTGTAACGGAACTATGTTGTATGCGGCACTCATGAGCCGTGTGTATGGCACAAGAACCTTATGGACAAGACCCATGAGTTAGTAACCGCGCGCGACGAGCGACACGGTGCCGGCTGCTTTACCGCTGACAGCACTGGCACTCTATAATTCCCATTATTCTTACGGCGGCCCTCGACTAATGAGCACACCTCATCTTTCCCACCTGCACATAGTTCTGTTCGGTAGAAACACGCCCATATAAGGACAGCCTCAAATATCCTTTTTCCCATTTTCAGGGTCCTAACACCTTCTTAATTTTTTTCTTCTTCGTCTTTAAATAACACGTCGTTTAATTTAAGTCTGTTCAATCTTCTTTTTCAGAATAAAGACATCACGTATGCGGAGCTGAGTTTACCAAAATCAAATAGTCAAGAAAACCACGGTTTGAATCATATTCCGAATAAAGACGAACTAACGATATATGCTCAAATAGACCATAGTAGTTGGGCAGTTCCTTACAGTGACAAGGGATCGCCGCCACCTTTACTCTTCTCCCCCGGTTCGGTGACGACCTTGCCTTCGTTACATCGAGAGATAGTCACCGTTCGGACCCCGCTCATGGCCAATCAACAAGAAAGTTGTGTTTAGTTAATTTTTTAACCTTCTCAAATGATTACCAAATTTATTTTTTTACCTCAAATTATTTATTTAAATTTGCAGTTATTGTAATTATGTAAATACTCTGTAAAATAGTGTACCTTTTGAACTTGTATATTTGTACCATTACACTTGGATTGATTTTGATACATTTCCTTTTATTTTACTGTGTTTAAAATCTATATCGAAAATTCGTCGTCTAACTTTTTATTGCCGCAGCGAGTACATTTATTATGAACCTTAATATTATAAAAGTATAAAAGGAACTAATAAAAGTATATCAGTTGAACAATCGAACTTGAACAGTCGCTGAAAAGTCCCTCTGATTATCAGTGACGAGGCGTGGATGATCGATTATCGATATTTCCCCATTTAAATCTATAGTAAAGAATAGATTATTAAGGCGTTCGCTGCGAACACCCTGTCTATCGATCCTTTTTCATAGGTTTAAATGGCAGATCAATCGATATATCGCAAAGCACGCCACGCCACTGCTGATTATTTCAGTTAAGACACCTGAAGTTTGCTCTCAAGCAAAGAAGGTTTTGATAGTGATGAAATTCGATTTTAGTAGGTGATTAGTATTGCAGTAACCACGGTTGAAACTCTCATTCCATACTTACCAAATATTTTTAATGTTTGAAACTGAGAACTCCGAGATTAACTCAACTAAATATTTTATCCAACATCATTGACGGGTTTTTAGTCTCCCTCAATTAGTCAACATTTTTCCTCCTCCTTGTAAGTGAAAAGTATGATTTTCAGAATAATAAAAATATGAAAAATAAAACAATAGAAATATATTGTGACAGCTTTTAGGTCAGCAACAAAAGAGATTTAGGAACATCTTACAAGAATCGAATATTGAAAGGTAGAATAGTCATATTTCCCTTTCCCCTGCCGCTTTACTAATTCCTATAGCGACGGTGAAACTACCAAACCACGTTACGTAACATCCAGTCTTGAAAATTTCTGTGATTTTTCCTCTTTGTGCGGAGAAAATTCCGTGAAAATTTCAAGGAATGATATTGATTTGGTCTACTTCAAAAAAATAAAATGTGAGCGTAGATTTTTAAACACCGCAAACGAGATACGTGGTTTGGTAGTTTCACCGTCGATAGCCCCTCTCTGTCACTCCCATTTACTAAGTCGTCTCGAGCCCAAATTTTTTTCAGAGTAGATTTTATTTGAAAGTGGGTTGTGTTCAAGGATTTTTATCAACTCTACCGAACGAAATCTGTTAAGTTCCGAAAAGCTGGCAAAAAATCTTTAGTGAATAGCTATAGATTTTCAAGCTATTAATAGTACAAAAATGAGAGGAAAATTTTCCACCAAACTGTCCATAGTCCAGGACAAATTTGCCGAGACAATAAGTACAACAAAAACCTAGCAACATTCGCGAGAAAACATCGACGAAAACCCATTACGTTTCGACAGCCATCATCAGAAATTCAAGAGAAAGGAAAGTAGGACAAAATTAATTAATCAGAGGAAGGTCTTCCAGCTCTATGAGAGAAAATTCTGTCATCGTCTTGGGGGTTTTTCCATACTTATGGACGGTTCAACGTGGAAATTATTCTAGCTCCATTTGACGCAAAAAAATTACCATGTCTCATTTGCAAACTTTTTCACAGCTAGCCTTGATACAATCTTGATATTAACGCACGCAAAATGCACGTAGTTCCTCTGTACATACTTAATGGGCCTGTTGCAAACTTTTGCTAGAGCAAAACTAAGAGTTGTTTCTTATAGATAATGCCTCAAAAATCACGATGAGCGCATCGGCAAAGTCTGAAATGCACTCACAACTTCACAATCTGCGTAAGAAATTTGCGTTTTTTTAAGCTTCCCGCTTCAAAAACGATACTACGGCACAGATGAACATTTTGTAAGAGGAGTCGTTCCATCGTCGGCAATAATCATCATAGCCGACGCCAATCCGCCAAAACACGTTTGATGGGACGAGATAACACCTGAACTGGATTGGACCAGATAACAATCGGTGTGTTAACGTTCATATTTTCCACGCCCGAATTGATTGACCTTGAACTCTCCTTGAATTACGCGCGGAACTGCGTGCAAGCGTCGGCCATGATGAATATCGCCGACGATGGAGCGAATCCTCTAACAAAATGTTCACCTATGCCGTAGTATCGTTTTTGAAGCGGGAAGCTTAAAAAAACGCAAATTTCTTACGCAGATTGTGAAGTTATGAGTGCATTTCAGACTTTGCCGATGCGCTCATCGTGATTTTTGAGGCATTATCTACAAGAAACAACTCTTATTTTTGCTCTAGCAAAAGTTTGCAACAGGCCCATTCGTAGTCTACTAAGGCATGAATAGATCTGTTTAGCAGACATCATACAGCAAAGTAAAATAGATTCCGGATTTCACTCAGATATTCTTAAATGCTTAGGTATTTTTTTTACTCAAGATTAAAATGAAAGAGCTAAAAAAACCATTGAACATCATCAATTACTAATGAAGAAAAAGAGGTTTCAATTTTACGCGATGTGAGGAGCGGCTTTTTGCTACGCTCAACAAAAAAAGGTAACAGAATAAATCTCTTTCAAATGAACGATTCCGCGATTCAATTGTCGCCGGGATTCCGAGGACCAACCTTGCGCTTACCAAATTGTGATCCGCCCGATTATTGCAGTGCACCTCTCCTGATATTAACCACTTCGTTTCTTCTTTTATTTGACTTTCGACAATGAAGCATTCGCTGCAATACGTTTTGTGCGTTTCGTGTATTCTAGTATTCACTGCAGATTTAATTACCGCGTCGCAGTGGTCAGCTGATACTCTAACGAAAAACTGTAAGAATTCCGTGGAGGCAAAAATAGAGAATCAAATTTTGCACAAATCTGATAACAGTACATTCGGATCGTCAAAAATTGTGCAGTTTTGTGAACGCTCCGCGGACACCACCAAGTCACCATGGCCGTCAAAAGCAAGTTACTCGAATTGGATTTCAGTCGTGCTGTCGAAAAAACTTTCGAACTTTCGGCCGAAATCGAGGACCAACCCGCTATGCAATGAGCATAGCTATTTCTACGAGGAAAGTTTAAGGAATTTAACGTTGTGGGCTGTACAAAGTAAGTGAAATTATTGAATCCATGTGACTAGATATTTTTAAAGCTCATGAGTACTCATTACTTGTGAATTTTAAGTACATTAGATACGTACCGATCAAAACTGAGAATGTACCACCCATTGATAGTTCACTCAATTCGCGCGCAGTATTACTTAGAACATTTCAAGGCGTTGTAAATATTACTGGTGTTATTATATTCATTATTTCACTTTCGATACGAGTTTTTAAACCTGCATCATAAAATGAGAGTTTTCAATTCTTTTCCTCTACTCTTACACTCGGTGTAAAAAAGGAATTTTGAGTCCTCTTTCAATTCGTAGGCTACGATTTTTTGGCAAGTGCACGTGAAATGCACTTGTTACGATTTAAATCAGTAATAATTTACTTGTCTTGATAATGTAAATTGGTTCCGTTTTGTTAATCTCAATCCAGATGACAGAAAATACATCAAAAAATGAATTTTGTAAATTATGTAGTTCCTTTTCTTCTAAAAAATGATGGTAATAAGCATGACGTTGACGACCAAATGCCAGTAATTAGTATTCAAATTGCAACGGATATCAATTTTTTAAGGTTTGATGTAAAATATTAGTCATTAAAATATGCCTAGGTGATTCAATATTGTAGAAGTGTTCAAATCTTAGTTTGCAAAAAAGAGGGGGAAATGAGAAGGTTTCCGAAAAAAAAGGCTCATTTGCGTATGGGCCCTTTATCCGGAGATCGCAAAAATATAAATTCATTGGCCTCTAATATAGGTACGCATGCATCGAGTTTCAGCTCCATTAATCAAATATTGGATCCAAGAGACCAAGTTTTGTGTGGGTGGGTCAGGGGTCCTAGGCTATTTCCAAGCAAAGGGCCGGTAGCGTAAGAGCCCTTTTTCTGGGGAAACTGTGGTTTAGCCAATTTTTACTGTCCAGTCATGTGTAAAGTACAGCTATAATAGAAGCAGATGGCTGCTACACAACACTGGAAAAAAAAACACATTGGATCTAGAGTCCAGACTCTCAAAAACATCGACAAGAAAAAGTACGCTTGATTCAATCAGAATCTAGCTTAAATCAATAACCAAGCCTCTTAATTTAAGCGAATTTCGTTTTGATTCAAGCAAAAATCCGATTGAATCAAGAGTATTTTTTCTTGTCAATTTTTTCAAGAATCTGGACTCTAGATCCAATGTGTGTTTTTTTTCCAGTAAACGTACCTCATCTATCTGCATCCGGTTACACAGTAACGATTCTTGAATGTTGGCAACATTGTTGTTCTTCTATTTAAATGTATGTAAAACAATCGATTCTAGAAAAATCGATATTTTTCATGGATTTAAATAATGAACAAACAGTGGTGCCAACTTACAAAATCGCCTTTGCGGCCACGGCCGCCGCGGCGACGACGATGTGGATATGAAAAACAGAAGAGATTAACAAACTTCATTTTTGTTTAGAAACTTGCTCATGTCTCAAAAATCCAGCTTTGAAAGCCAAAACCTATGACCACTGGTCCGTTTCCGGAAAAAGAGCCCATAACAGAAAATTTTAAAAAAAAAATTCCTCCAACATCACTGTAAGAGGTGTAAGTTTTTCGAATGATCTTCATTCATTTGAGGCTGTATAAACTTCGATCCAAGAGCCCAAGTTCCGATGCAAGTTACCGTCAGTGGCCAAAGTGTGAGATTAAAAACTTCAAATGCAGTTTTCTCACAACTCGATTTTTCTAAATTGTCGGTCCCTTTTTCCGGAACCCTCCTCAATTGCTCTTGCACATTTGCACTGTGCTGCTGGGGGAACTAATATCCTATTTGTCTGGACAATGGACACTTTACTCGCCAGAACAGCCTTGTGAATTTTTAAATACTTCCAGTGAAAGAAGCATCAGCAGCGACCACTGAAGGAATGTTAGTAGGGCAAAGCTTTCAAACGGGTCATTACGATGAATGCGTGAGCATCCAAACTGATTCCGTGGCCGGCCGTTACTGCCTTGCAAGACTCAAGTTCGCGCCAACCCCCCAAACGTACATGAGCTTTTATGACCGTCAGCTGGAAAGCAGAATAGCTCCTCCTCATTCCAATGCTTGGGATACCATTAAAGTAAGTCACCTCCTTGGTTAACAGACGAAATGTGCTTAAGGTGATTCGTCAAGCTCAAGTGACGTGGTCGAACTGGCATGCGATATATCGCATCGATTAGGTCAAAAATCTCGGTCGATTTTGAATTTTTAGCGAAAAAAAGGACGATAGCCCCTGCGCATGAGCCTACAGAATCGTTCTAAACCCAAAAATTAATAAAATTCCAAGAAATGAAAGCAGAATAGTGCTTGGAAAAAAACCTAGCATTCGATTCAGGCATCAATTTTTGTATCGAATGCGAGGTTTTTTTTCCAAACACTATTCTGCTTTCATTTCTCGGAATTTTGCTGATTTTTGGGATTAGAATGATTCTTTAGGCTCATGCGCAGGGGCTATCGTCCTTTTTCTTGCTGAAAATTCAAAATCTGCCGAGATTTTTGAACTAAAAGATGCGATATATCGCATGCCAGTTCGACCACGTCACTTGAGCTTGACGAATCACCTTAAGGTGGAAATTGAAATTTTTCATTACTGCGAAAAAAAAAAGCAATTTTGAATATATAATATCAATTTTTAGTTTTTATTGCTAAACGCCCTCTATTACTTTCAAGTTCATCGGTTCAAAATTTTTAGCCTGAATTTGCATTAATGAGGATGTCATAAATGTTTGAAATAAATCGCTTTTAAAGCTGAAAACAACGCCGACAAACTGTAACGCCCCCCTTTAATGTCCCTTGCGGAAATCGGACGATTTCATTATGAGCATAGAGTATTCTGTGCTACTCTGCTGTGCTAAGGAAGAATGCCGTATGAGTCTTCAGACGTCGCCAAATTTCCTTCGACAAATCCTGAATTCTCAGGAAAACTTGGGAATATTTCTTCTCCGATTTTTCAGAGCATTTTGTTTTAAATTTCATCTAAATATAGTCGGAAAGTTCGACTTGTGCCATAGCTCCAATAATGGGGCTTTCATGTACGTAAATATAATAAATTTAAAAAAATGAAATAAAAATGTATAACTTTCCTCGAAAATAAATCTTTTCTGAGAAGAAATTTGGCAACATTTGAATGATCATACGGTGTTTTTCCTTAGCACGGCAGTACTGATCTTGGATTTTTTCTGATACAGCAACTAGATCTTTTACAGATATGAGTCTTAAAATTAGAAAAAGGAAATCTGTTGCCACCTTCGATTATTTTAACGCGCGTGGATATGTTTAACCTTAAACTTCACGGAGTTAAAGCGAAGATTTATGGATGGATAAATTTTGACTTTTAGTAGTATATTTACGGACGCATATCACACTATCCTAAGAAATGACTCGTTTGAAGGTGAATATTCTTTCTCTCATTCTCGCGACAATTTATGCAAATCTACATGCTGAGTGGTTTCCGTTGGAAGATCATGCAGCGCAAATTGGGAGTTGTCAGGATTTGGAGAGATCGAGAATATTAATAAAATAAAACACAAGAGCGAAAAAATGACGTTTCAAGGTTCATTTCGTAAAGAAACATTCGTGCACCTACCAGAAATTAGATCGCGATTGTGATTCTACGAAAGAGAATTCGGGATTTAAGTGAATTTTAAATAATGGGTGAAGCAACGATCCAGAGCAGGAGCTGAAAAGATCGCAACATTGATCGTTCTTTCCGATGCGATTAAGAATCATTTAAATTTTTCGGAGGTCGACGAATTTTTGCAATGAGTCATGGAATTCCTTCATGAAGGCAATATAGAGAGTCTTCATTGCCGGAAGTTTTACCCAGTCCGTTTTTTGAAATCTCGGAACTTGCAAGTCGCAATCAAAATTTAAAATGATTAATTGTGAGGTTTGATAAATGTGGATACAGAAAGATGAAAAAAACCCAACAATATATCGACGGTGAAACTACCAAACCACGTATCTCGTTTGCGGTGTTTAAAAATCTACGCTCACATTATATTTTTTTGAAGTAGACCAAATCAATATCATTCCTTGAAATTTTCACGGAATTTTCTCCGCACACAGAGGAAAAATCACAGAAATTTTCAAGACTGGATGTTAAGAAGTTTTTCATTTAAGAAATAAAGTATGACAGGAAGTCTGCGACGTCGCAAACCGAGATACGTGGTTTGGTAGTTTCACCGTCGATATGTAACATTTATGCTCAACAGAAAAGCAAGGATCCTATACGACTTGACAGGGATTCGATTCATTTTGGGCTGTGCGTACCGGCAGCATGTTCGTGGAAAGATGTTGAGGAGTCCCTCTCAGACGTTTTTGCCGATGTCGAAAAAGATCATGGAATCATTCTCAACGTTTCATTGACTGAGCGACTCTGTTCCTCTAGGATCGATGAAAAACAGCACATGCCTTTCCTAGGAAAATTAATCATGTAAGTCTCCTATGAATAAAGTCTATTAAAACTTGAAATATTGGTGCATATGAGAGGTATAGGGGCGGCATTTCTATATCAGGATTTTTTTTTTGGGGGGGGGGGCTGTTTAAAGGGAGGATTTGCTTGGCGAGGATTACTTAAGGAAATATTCTGAAACACATAACTGATACATAACACGACATACATAATTGAAATACATTACTGATAATAATTGATCGAAAATGACAGTACTGCCCCTAAAGAGTTCAACTATAATATGTAGAAAAGGCCAGGGGCCATAGTCATTTTCTAAAATGAAAACGCTGGCGAAGAAGAAAAAGCAGTTGAGTAGAAACCTGAGAGCCAAGTTGATAGATTAACCCGGTAATCGCGTGTCTCGGTTTGCGACGTTGCAAACTTCCCACTATACTGTATTTTTTTAAATAGTAAACTATCGACCTACAATTTTGAATATTTCCGTGATTTTTCGTATCTGTTGGAGAAAAATTCTATAAGAAAGCGATGAAAAAATTGGATCACTTCCCTCGTAAAAATTTAGGGAGAAAATGTTAATAGCGAAAGTTGCAATACGCACTCTAGTCAAGATACACATGATTTTTCAACTTAGAGCTAGCAGAATGAATGTTACATCGATATGGTCTGAGGCTTTGAATTTTGTCAGTTATTATCGTCTTACGGAACGTGCAAGTTATTCATTCTTGGAGGAAATACATATAATATGTAAATTAACTATAGCAATAGAAACTATCTACGTAGAATTTATGAGCCACAAATAGCTCCTTTTTTGGGAGTTATTTTTACCTGGTCCTTTTTACCATATGAGTACGTCCAGATTCAAATCGTTCAAGATTGCTTTACTAATTTTAAAGTATAGTGGTTTCATAGCTCTCCTTTCGTATATGGGTAGATTTTCGCTAGAGGAGGAAAATTTCATTTTTTCATTCTGAGGAGTCAAAGAAATTTTAAGCCTGCAAAATATTCATCAGTTCCCTGGTAAAAATTGGCAGTAGAATCTGTGTTCCAAAATACCATAGACCTACAGCCGGCTGTAAGATTTCCAATAGCTTCTATAGCCGGCTACACAATTTCTTATGGCCCTTTATAGCCGATGGCAACTAAGCAACAGCCTGGCGATAAAATGTATGCTAAACTTTACTAATTACGGATGCCAGGACTTAGTGAGTTTTTGGACTACCGCTCTCTTTTTGGGCCGTAGCATCTTGATTTATTTTGCGAGGAAAGCTCCCTACTTTTGAAGGATGCCTGCCATTCCTAATATGTTGGAGCGCCTGCAATTTCGTATGATACTGTGCAATACCTCTGGTGTGAAATAGTTGCTTCAAGCGCCATGGTATGCTGCGGCGCGGCGGGCCAGCGCGGAACGCGCATTGGCGCCTTCAAACCTAATAGGGATACTTCACGCATTGCGCAATGCGTGAAGTATCCCCGTTAGGTTTGTAGGCGCCATTGCGCCGCCGCTCCGCTTTGTGTTAGGCTCTAATATTTAATCTCGTGGAGTCAGCGTTGTTTAACTCATGACTTTGAAATGTTTGCACACTCTGTATGGATTATTCTCATTTTAATTGATGAAAACAAATATGTAGTAAAGGAAAATATAATGTGCGTTTTGTAAATATTAAGGTGATTCCGTATACAAACTTAAGGATTTACAAAGCACACGAATTTCTACACAATTTCTTATAGCCTTTTATAGCCGATGGCGAAAAAGCAACAGCCAGGCGATAAAGTGTAAAGCCCGGCGAAAGGAACTATAGCCCGGCTGTATAATTTTTTATCGCTTCGTGTAGCCCGGCCATATGATTTTTTCCACTTTCTACAGCCAGCTACCTATATGATTTTCTATCGCCTTCTTCAGTCGGCTATAAGAACTCCTATGGTATTTTGAAACGCAGCTCCTATCGCCAATTGTTACCAGCGTTTGCCTTTAAACATATAAGAATAATAAATCGGAAAAGACGCATTGTTGTAACCTGAGGTACAGGTTTCTCAGTTTTCACCGACAATGTATCAGTGAGGCGCAAGATATCAATATGACTTTTTATTAACATGTTTTCTTCTTGTTTTCCATTTTTCTTTCAGATATGGTATTGTGCTCTTGACTGTTTTATGCGTCTGCGTGACATGTTACCATATCGTTCTGATAAATAGCGGATCACGATGTGAGGGTAATTAAAACCTTTAAATTCACATGATTACTTTCTATGAATGAATAAAAAAGAACCCCTGCTACAACGATCATGTCAATACCACACTCATCTTGGTCAACTAATACCAAGGTATATAGTGAGTGAAACACGATTCTATATTGACACCAACAAGGTCAAGAATGATGTTAAGATCGATGAGTAAAATGTTTCTAGAAATTTTTCCATTACAGGAATAAAAGGAAAATACATCAAAAGGCGCATCCTCACACATGCATAAAATAAAAAAGAGATTGCGAATAACAACAAGTGACCGAGTACTTGGAACTCGGCTTGATAACAGTCCTCGTGCTCAAATCATTTCAGTATCGTCTCATCAGAGATTCTTGCTAAGAGCAAATAACGTAAATGCCAAAATAAATTCTTACTACCGGCTAAATTTTGGAATAAGGAAATTATCGATCTGTCATATGCTGCCCTAATACTCCAATGTTTTCCTGATAAAATGTCTAAAATGTCTAAATGTCTGTGTCGTCTTTTTTCCTGAAGCACATAACTATTTGACGGTAAAAGTCGAGGAAAATCGTCTCTCATACTTACGATTTTGCGAATCTCCGCCGATATTTTTTGTTCGTCTAAGACCAATCAATAGTTTTTCCCGAAGTTTCTACGATTTTTTCACTCCTTCATGAATAATTACAGAAAATTTCAAAGAAATAATTTAGTTGGTTTTCTGAAAAAATACACATTTATGTTCCAAGATTTGCTGCAATAGAGTTGCACTTTCTTGACTGCATTATTCGTTATCGACGTCATGACCAGGCAGTTAGTGTGGTATTGACATGTGCCAAGAAGGTCGGAAGAGAGGTTGTTCTAACAAGTTTTGGATTAGGCACCACCTGGGTTAAAGCGACGGGGACGTTATATGGTAGGATAGCGACAGGCCGTTGACGAAGAGGTGATATACGTTGTCAGTTGCCCGATAACCTTTGGGAAGATAGGCACATGTGGCGTTTGGGTGTCGCAGAGTGCCAGAGTGCGTTGTAGGAGCAACTTTAAGGAAAATCGCTATCTTTTTTAAGCAATAAGTTACTTTTACTTATTCAACGCCTTTTTTTAATGGGATATAATGATGAATCTGTACTTTTAATTAACATTTTTCAGATAATCAAAAATTGAGCCTCATTAACATCCTATCTATTGTCAATAATATGGGGAAGCTTAGTGAAGATAAGGGAGAGGAAGACTTGAATGTGCTGAATGGAATTAAAGTTCTGTCGATGTTTTTCATGGTCACCGCACACAGGGTTGGAATGACGTTTGGTGGCATGCTTTACAATCCAACCTTCGCCGAAGAGGTGAGTGTTGATGTATTTTTGGTTATACAGAATTTGGTTAGAATTGGTTACTGTAAGATGTTGGCCTCCTATGGTGCAATGGTCGTATACCGCTGGTCGTAGGTCCCGGGTTTGATTCCCGGTGGACCCGAGTTTGATGGTCTCGAAAAAAGTTCAATTTAGACTCTGTTTGTTACCAAACAGCAGGAGCTTGGTCAGTGTCCTATTACATTTGTTGACCATTTTCATTTAATTGAAAATAAACCGTAAAAAAACCCACGTATACACAGTGAAAAATTGTCCTGTTCGGTGTTATTCTGTGTTACTCTGTGTCACTCTGTGTTATTATCTTTGTGTTAGAAATGAAAACGTTCCATTTGGGTGATTAGCTTTGACGATCCTTTCAAAAATAAATGGGCGCCATAATGATCTTTTCAGTCAAAAAAAAATTTGGAGAGTTTCCAACACGTCCGATGAGTTCTTTATTACTTGCTTTTGAATCACTTGGTTTTTTTTTTCAGGGTATCGAGGGAAGAAATATCTTATTGATAAAGTCGACGGTTGTGGATACTTACTTTGCTATCTCTGGTTTCTTAGTTTTTACATTCGGATACAGTCAATTTAAAGCTCAGGGTATTAAAATGATACCATTGGCATTTATCTACAGATGGCTTAGGTGAGTGAAATAGAATAGAATTTGTTTGTCAAAGGGTACAAGTTCCTGACGTATTACATCGTGACGGGATATACTTGGAATTTCTTAGAAAATGTCTTGTAATTCATGCAGAGCTTATCCGACATTGCTTGCACCTGCTTGGAAGTTGAAATAGTTTTATCACGTCTTTTGCCCCATTTAACTTTTTGCCGCATGAGCATTTCTACTGTGCGTTGAAGTCTCTGAGACAGCGGGATAGAGAACAAGTTCTCCTTCATTTTTGTGGATATGCAAGTTTGCCTCTTGGAAGTCAAAACAGTTGTATCCTGTGTTTCACCATATCTAACTTTTCTACTCAGCGTTAAAGTCTCTGAGCCAGCGAATGTCAACGGCTGTGGATGCTCACTTTGCTTTCTCTGGTTTCTTGGTTTTTACATTTAGATACAACCAATTTAAAGTTGAGGCTATTAAAATGATATCATTGGAATTCATGTAAAGATGGCTTAAACAAAGTGAAAATGAAATAGCTGAGAACATGACGACACGTGCACTTTTAAAGTCTTAAGGAAATGGGAATCTAAAATCAAAAGGATTTTAGAAACTTTTTACATGCTTAAATATTAAAATTTATATACGTGCTATACATTGTTTTTGTATTAACAAGCAGGGATTTACATTATATATGAATAGATGCGAATACCCATTTTTTAGTTTAAAAAAATTTAAGCCCGCTTCTCTCTAATCTCATAAAAATATATTATTTAAGTTTCGCTGTAAATCACATAAAGAGGAGTTTATTTAGAGGGCACATACACAGTTTATAATAAAAGCCATTAAGCTATCTGCGAGTTTATTTTATTTTCTGCCCTCAAAATTTTCGTTTATACCCGTTCCTTATTTGGCTTGTGCATAGAGCAAATGATTGTTATTTTGCATGTATTTTAGATTGATGCCAGCGTACATGGCAATGCTTGCATTCATCATACATGCATTACCTTATTTAGAGGAGGGACCTGTGTGGCAGAGTGTTGCAGTGAAACAAAGTGAGAACTGTCGTCGTCATTGGTGGACTAATTTCCTTGGAATAAACAATATTGTGGCAGCTGATGAGATGGTAAATGAATTGTATTTTCTCTTGCGTCTTACTTACCCGAATGTCGTTTCTCTCCTTTTAACTGTGTTCTCATGGAATTTTACTAAAATTATCAATTCACCAATCAAGCGCACTGCTCAGAGCGGCCTTTGGCGGCTAGGTGTTGCAGAGCGCCAGAGAGCGCCGTGACAGCGGCTTCAATGAATGTACATTTCCTCTTTTACTATCTCTTTTAAGAAAATTGGAAAACTGAACATGGACTTTATTTTTTTACCCACATAAAATCATCTGCTGATAATGTAATATTTATGGCTGATTTCAGTGTTTGGTTCACTCGTGGTATGTTTCGTGCGACTTGCAGCTCATAATAATTGGCAGTGTACTCGTCTACGTTTTCTCAAAAAATCACATGAGTGGATTGATACTAGCAGTTGTGGCATTAATGGTCTCTATAATTGTACCATTCCGGAATGTGTATGTTAACCGTTACGAGGGTATCGTAAAACTATATCAAAGGTAAGTCGGCTCATAAATGAACTAAACTTGAACTGATACTTATTAAACTTATTTTTAATTTCACATATTAATGTTTTTATAAACTACTTAGATTTAAATAATCATGAAATCTGGATCAATTGAAGTTAATATTATTGGAATGATAAGCATAACATAACTTCTGCAAAATCGAAAAAAAAAAAAGAAAAAAACTTTGAATTTCAACCAGGTAGTCGATATTTTAAATTAAATTTCCTGAAATTAAAATGGGTATGCAATTTTTTCCTGCGTGTATAATTAAGTGATTATTTAACAATCAACACGGTACTAAAAAATTTTAACTTTTTTTTTAAATTTCAATTTATTTAACCGTCTCTTTTAATTCTATCTGTTCCTTTATTTAAGCTTCCTCGTCGATCCTGTGAAAGATACGGCGTTCCGAGAGTTTTATATACAAAGTTGGAACAGGGCAGGACCGTTTTTTGTCGGCATCATTGCAGGATACATATTGATGCAAATTAAGAACGAAAAACTGAGACTCTCAATGGTACGTAACGATACAAAAATGTACCAGTCGCGTGGGGTGTTTTGCGATTTATCGATTCATCTGCCATTTGAACCTATGGAAAAGTATCAATAAACAGATTGTTCGCTCCGAACACCTTAATAATAGATTATTTACCACAGCTTCAAATGGGGAAATATCGATAAATCGAAAAGCATGCCACGCCACTGAAATGTACAGCTCACTAAAACATATCTGTTCAGAAGTATACAATCTTACCTGCGGTCATAATCTGGTCACAGGGTGAAAAAACTTTTATGTTGCAGCATGATTCCAGATAGGAACAGGTTGATCGGACGACGTGGGGGAAAAAACACCCGAAAAAATTAGAATGACACTGACAACTGCCTCTCATCTTTATTATGCGCAACATTCAGTGAAGTTGACACTGATCAATGGTCATTTTTTCTGTTGACAGTAGCTGATTTGTCTTCATGTATTCATACATTCGTTCGAAATAAGAGTTACAGTAAATTATGTATTACAATAGAGAGATTTTACAACGAAAATTTTATTGAATTTTTTGTTTATAATGTGAGTATTTTAATGTTAAAATTTAAATTTATCACAAATTAAAATTTATATAGTTATTAAAATGACACGCACGAAAAAATTCATTCCATGAGTAAGGAAAAACGTATAATTTGTAGATAAATTCCGCCTGTTCTACTGCTCGGCAGCATTTTCTCCAAATTTAATGTGGCATTTGGAATTATTCATAAGATCGTTCAACTCTGTTCTTTTTCCTCTAGTATAAAGTATCTTCCTCCCCTGTTTATAACATGGGCGGTCCATTTCTTTTACCTTGAGATTTTGTTTCGTTCTGGTCATTATAATAACCCAGTTGCCTATTCAACTACTTTTCCCTGCTTTTCAAATAATCTGCCGGAAAATTTGTCCGTTTCCGCGATGAGTAAGTCCAATTGGATGGAATTAGGTGTTGCCGAATTTTCTCTCATAATTTATTATCGAAAGTTTCAAGCCGTCAAATGGTTTAGTTCCCTGGTAATAAAATAAAACATGAAAGGAAATGGAGCAGTGTGAAATGCAGTCAAGCTGATTGTGCGGATAAATGAGTAGTAGGGTCACGTTTATAGGTATGGATTTTCGCTCAGTGGTGAGGAAGGGTTGGTGACGGGCAAATGACTTGGCGCCTGGCTGTGGTCGCACAATGGTCATTTGTTCAATGCAGGTAGAAGGCATGAATGAAAGAGGAGGCCCTATTGTTACCCTACCAAGAAAAATCACTTAGCGATGCGCTGAATACCTCTGTATTTTGTAATTTCACATACATATAGGTCGCTTTACAGCACTCCCTCGCGCTCTACGACTCCTAACCTCCACTGCTCTCTGTCGAACCACAAATCTTGGGGCAATGAGCACCTTAACATTTCCGCTTCAATCCCATCCCTCCAACCTTTCATTGGGCGCCCTCTGCGTCTTCTCCCAGGAGGGACCCAATCAAGGACCCCCTTCGGCAACCTGTCTCCTGCCATTCTCTGGACATGACCATACCAAATAAGTTGTTTCTTCATAATGTCTTGCACGATGGTCTACTTGGTATCCATGATCTCCCGTACCGTCTCATTCCTGACGCGATCTTTTCTGGAAGATCCAGCAGATCTACGCCTTTTGTAATTTCACGCCTGCATTAAATAAAGCTATATTTGTTTAAAAGAAAAATAAATTGAACTGCTTAACTCTTGAGAGATGTTTTAAAAAATATTACATATCGGATTTTAAAATA